AAAAAAAAAAAAAAAAAAAAAAAAAAAAAAAAAAAAAAAAAAAAAAAAAAAAAAAAAAAAAAAAAAAAAAAAAAAAAAAAGTCGGATATAAAAGAAAAATAGTGCTTCCAGTGTGAAATAACGCCAATTAGTGTCAACAAAGGCAAGAACTAAGCGACAATAATCAGAGATCTCTTGTCCAAAATGTTGACTGCAATTTTTCTCACTTATTACACAACTAGCTGTTCCCGTGCGGCTTCATCCGCATAAAATTATGAAAAATTTATTTTATTTTTTACACTTGTCAAATTGTCAATAGCAAATGTAAAAATGACAGGACATGACAAACCTTAGCAATCTTTCTTTCTTGATGTTGACAGCAACTTATGGTCTCTCTCTCTCTCACATTAGGGCTTATATCCAAAATATTTACCCCTTAAGTTTAATGGCGTAAAAATATATATCCTAAAACGTGACATAAGTGTAAGGCTTTTTATTTAAAAAAGAATTATTAAAAAATATGCTGTGATTGCTGATATCTTAGGCCACAAAGAATTGTGTGTTTACGCTTTATAGTATAGATTACGAAATGAATGGAAATAGAAAGTAACTTAAGTTACAATGCTGTGATATAGCATTGTTAGTACCCTTTAGAAGTTTGTTTCTGTTTAATTTTTATATAGATTGAACTAAAATTGATGATTTCGCAGACCTCCGTATCTCCGGTAAGGCTACACCGACTTTGACGAAAAGCATATGACAATAGTTACAAGGTAAATAAAATATTACATTTAAAAATATAAATCCTTTATAAAAAGAATATTCTTACTTCACTAGTTTAAGTTATCTAATTTACATTTATAAAATTATATTTATATGTTTTCACAATTTGTTTATTATTTATTTATTAAAAGACAATTTTAATACATATTATTAAGAAATCAACTTGATCAGATGTAGTTCAAATAGTAGTTGTATAGTTTGTCTAAATAAGGGCGATTACTTTGATAATTCATTTGTCTATTTAGTACGTTAATTTGAAGATTTTTACCCCATAGAAGTAAGAATCGATAGTTTATAGTAATACTTAATTTAATTTATTGTAAATAATATTGTTCGAAATGAGAAGAGAATCTTTTGATAAATAAAACAATATCTTATTTTATTATACTTGTAATATCAATTTAAATGTTTAATCTTACTTCTTACTAATATTATTAATGTGGAAGTTAAGTAGGATGTTTATTAGGGTTTGTAGCCTAAACGGAATGGATTTCGGTGAAATTTGGTATAGATGTAGAGAATACTCTGGAAGAAAACATAGGCTATTCAGTTGTTTTTTTTTAATCCCACGCGAATGGAGTCGCGGGCGAAAGTTAGTAAATAATAACATTATTCCACTCATTTGTGTGCTGGCTGAAGCAAGATTCCTATCATAATTAATAGGTTAATAACAATTGTGCCGTACAAACGGGTTCGGGTCCCGCGGCACAACCTACCCTTGAACGATCGCACCGGAGGGCATAATATTGTAAATGTAAGGGGAAAATGTGGTACTCACAAGCTCGATGAATTGCGTCACCTCCTGCAGGTGCCCTGTCTCAGTCAATGTCAATCGAGTCAAGGTCTGGTTCAGTCAAGTCTATAGGCCCAGCGATGCTGCCTGAAGATGTACCAGTAATTTCGAACGCGAAACCGAATTTAGCGACCCTGTTCGCTACCGAAATCGACACACCTGTTGTGTCAGCGTTATACAAATAGCAACTCTAATCCGCACAAGTGTTCGCGACCGTCCCGCTTGGCTGCTCGATTCCGACCTTTTCTCGCACCCCTCTCCACAGGCCTCGCGCCCGTCCGTAGTGGAGAGGGTTTATTCATCTACCCGCCCGTGCGGGAAAAATAAAATAGGCGCGCTTACCCGCACTAAACCCGGGGCATATAAAGGAAATACAAAATTATGTTCGTATGACCGCATACGATCTGTACCAAACAACAATATTAAATCGATGTTTTTAACGATTAAACCGAATATCAATAGTTTACAGTTATTCGCTTTACTCTTATTTCGTTACAATGACACCCTTCTATAAAGTATAGCATTTATTAACTTTATGTAAAATTATATTCGATATTTTATATGCGTGATATACAATCTAATCAACCTTATTTAGACAAACTATAAAATGGTGATTTTTAGGACGTGTAGTTAAATACTAATAAATTATTTTACACTTTGCATGATGGTGGAAATATTACTACGGCATTGTATTGTAGCTTAAAATTAAAGTCACCTAGAGGACAGGACAAAACTTCAGACAGTGTTGCCGCAGAGGCGCAGCCGTGATGCTTAGCGCTGAGCGCCGACAACTGCAGCCAGCACGGCCGCTG